CCCGCCCCCCACCCATCAGGCCGGGCCGCTGGCCTTGCCCGGGCTTGCCCGCTTGCATCATCGCGGGAGCCGCCCACTCATGCTGGAAAAAACCGGCTAATTATATCACCCGACCGGGCAGCTGACCGGCCTGTCCCCGCTTGCTTTGCGCGACTGAGCCTGGTTTGTCAAAATAACAACAACTACCTTTTGTACAGTGCTGCTTGATTTCTCAAAAATAATAACAACCATCCAGGAAAGAAAAAGGAAGGTTGGGGCGGCTGTGGTTTTGTGCCCCCAAAGAGCTGTGGTCCCCTGAGGGGACAGAGGCGACCTCCCAAGCCCCCTGAGCTTAGGAAACCAAAACCCAGACGCTGGAAAACCAGGGCCCAGCCCCAGCGGCTGAGGGCTGAGGACAGGATGCACCGGCGGCGTCGGCAGAGCCAGAAACACAAACACTGCTTTGACGGCATCAAGAACAGCAGCCTGGTCATTTATTTTTTTAGAATTACTTAAAATTCTATTTGTAGTAGAGTCCAAAGCGTGAGTCTCGTTTTTCCAGAACTTCCTGTATTTATTTTTTGAGCTGATAACACAGTCACGTGGCTCCCAGTCAAAAGATGCAAAAGGGAGAAGCAAAGAAAACTCACCCCCGAAGTCCCCTCCGCGGTCCTCCTACCGGAGACCTGGGGCAGAACCGGAACTTCCCAGATTTCAGAGGACCCCTTCCATCCCCTTAGGCCCTGTGACCCTGGACTGTCCCCCACTGTCCCGGCCGCACCACTGTAAATGTCATCGCCAAGGTACTTTCTCTGTCCCGGGAACGCTGGTCACGCTGGGGCTGGGGTGTGGGGCGTATTGGACTCAACAGGCATCAACAAACAAAACTGCACAGGGCTTTCCCTCCTCTCTGCTCTGGTGTTGCTGCTAACGTTTTTGCTGCAAACCAGAGAAAACACATGGGTTTTCAGAATGACTTTGGATTTTTGAATAGGTGACATAGTCTTTTAGCACCTGAATGGAAACACAGTGTTGGAAACCTTGCTTTTGGTTTTTGTTTTTGAGACAGGGATCTCAGGTGCTTTTTTAGTCCAGGCTGGCCTCAAACTCACAGTGCTCCTCCTGCCTCAGCCTCCTGAGTGCTGGGATTACAGGTGCACACCACCATACCCGGCTAATTTGCAGGCTTGGATTTGGAGGCAGAATTCCTTCCTCTCTGGGGACCTCCGTCTTTTTTCTCTTCAGGCCTTTGACTGACTGGATGAGGCCCACCATGTTGTGGAGAGTAACCGGCTCTACTGAGTCTACAGATTTAGATGTTAACATGTTTTTTTTTTTTAATACCTGGGCTGGGGATTTAGTTCAGCAGTGCCACTGCCTGACTCGCAAACGCAGGATCCTGAGTTCGATCACTGGTACCAAAACAAAAACCTAAATGGCATCCAGGTGTGGTGATGCATACCTGTTATCCCAGTGCTTGGGAGGCTGAGGCAGGAGGATTGCCAAGAGTTTGAGGCCAGAGTGGGCAATTTAATGAGACTCTAAGATAAAATGTAAATTAGGGCTGAAATGTAGCGCAGTGTAGACAGCCTCACCCTACCCCAGTTCAATCTTCAGTATTGCAAAAAAGAAAGAAAAGAAACGGAGGGAGGTGCAGAGTAGGTGCGGCCTTGGAAATCAGAACTAGGAAACTCCTTTCCCAAAACCAAAGGAACTAAACTTGGTGAGGTGCATGAAATGCCAGAGTCCCGCTTATGAAAAATGTCACAGACTGAGCGCTGCCAGGCGGGAGGCCTCCCTCATCAGCTCTGTGGAAATCTCCCCAGCTGTGGCAGTGGATGGGGAGTGTGGGGTCCCATCTAGGAGTCACGTGTAGAACTTGAGGACCAGAAAACCTGGGCCAGAGGACACAGCCAACTACTGCACCCCGATACCCTCACTCCACCCGCAGGCTCTACGAAGTGTTCTTTGGGGCTCTCCTCCCCTCTCCGGTCTCCTGCAACTGTGATCGTAATGACAGTAATAAGCACTCAGGAGCTGGCCCTTACTGTGTGCCAGGCCGCACACCGGGTACTTCGCCCGCACGCAGGCTCCGTTCCTCTTCACCTTACTCATTTTATGACGAGACCCAATTCCTTTCATGCCCATTTTACAGACAAGGAAACCGGTCGAGATAAAGATGGAATCGTTTCCCAAGCCCGGCAAGGGGAGTGAGGACTTGAACCCAGACTGGCTGGCTCCAGAGGCCAAGCTCGTAACCACTAATAGCAACAGCAGCTGACAGGCGGGTGTGAGCGCCTTGGCCGCTGTGCAAGTGCGAGGCAGCTCAGGCACAGAAAGGTCAGGCCGCTGCCCAGGTCACGCAGCTGGGGGAGACCGACCGGGGCTGACCAACTGCTTCCACAATATGGGGTCTACACCTGCTGCAGCCCCAGGCCAAACTGAGTACAAACCCAATAAACAGTCGATGAGTCCTCCTTTAATTTTTATTTTTTTTATATTTATCAATTTCACCTACTGGGGAGAAGCAATACAGCTCGTTCCTAGCAGGCACAAGGCCCTGGCTTCTAGCCCCAGTTTCGCACAAAGAAATAATTTAAAAAATCATATTCCACATTTATCGTGGACACTGGAAAACGCACAAAGTTCCCAAGAAGAAATGCAAGTCATCCTGGGCACATCCCGTAGAAAACCACAGCCAGGGTTTTGATGTCTTTCCAGCCGTTCTTACAAAACAGAGTTCCCACTCCATGTCGTTTTGTAACCTCCTCTTCTCTAGGGCATCAATGGATCCCATTTTCCCAAGCGCTTTCTCTTGTAATTTCCGGAAGAGGCTGGGACCCCAGTGCCCCCCACAAACAGCCGGCTCCTGGGGGATGGACGCTCCTGTCCCGCGCCCACCCCACACCCCGCATGCTCTCCGGCCACCTGGCAGCCCTGCGAGCTCCCGCCCAGCCCTCCGCCTGCCTTCTTAGCCCTGGCGTCTCCTGCAGCACTGCCAGGCATGGGCGGGTCCCTGTCCACAGGCCTGGCCGCCGCTGTCCTGTCTCCGCTCCTTCTCCTGCCCTCCCTCGCCCACAATCCCGACTTCACCCTGTGCCCCATTGCCGCGAGACAACCCCAGCCCGGCGGCAAGCTGGCATCGGCGGCGCCTGTCGCAACGCTCTGAGCGACAGGCAAGGAACTGGAAGCCGTTCCCAGGGCACAGGTGCAGGGTGAGCAAGGCTCTCGGCTGGCAGGAGCCTCCGCTGGTGTAATTTCGGGGTACCAGGCAGGCTGAGAGTTCTTCGGGTGCAGGAGCTCCTTTGATGTGTCTTTAACTCCCCTGGAGGCAGCTGCCAAACCAGCCCCGAGGGTGGGGCAGCTGGGGCGCCTGGTCCCATTAGGATGGCGTGGAAAGCTTTTGAAGGCAGTGGCTCAGGACAGGTGGTTTCTTGATTCCGGCTGCCGTGTCATGGTCAGGATGGGGTGGGGTGGAGCCCTGGGCTGGGGGAGCAGGGAGGATGGGATTCCCCAGCCCTGCTGGCCTGACAACACCTTTGCTGCACCCCACCTTCAGAAGTTCCTTGCCCAAGGAAAACCCAAGTTAGGTGGCAGACTTCTGCCTCTTTTGTGGGGGAAGATGTTGACAGCTCCTTAGTGGGTTTTTTTGTTTGTTTGTTTTTGTTTTTGAGACAAGGTTTGTATAAGTACTTCAGACTCATCTTGAACTCAGTGTGTAGCCCAGGCTGCTCTCAGACTCATGGCAACCCTCCTGCCTCAGCCTTTCTAGTGCTGAGATCACAATTGTGGGCCACCAGGCTTGGATTTCCCCAGGGTTCTTAAGGCTTTCTCCCTGAGTCACATCTCCCTCTGAAGACAAGGGGACAGGGGACTTGGTGCTCTTGGAAGGCCTCCTGGGTTCCCTTAGCCCTGGGCCACTTCGAGACCTCATCTCTTCCTCCACAGGAGCTAGGGTTTTTAGTTTTTGTTTTGTGACACTGGAGATTAAACCCAAGGCCTTCCTTCACAGAATTACATCACCAGCCCTTTTAATTTTTTTTTTTTTTTTTGTACCGGGTGGGATGCAAGGCAGGCCACCGAACCACTGAGCTAAATCCCCGGCCCCCTAAAAATGTTTTTTGAGATCTCAAAATAAGGTCTTCTTAAGTTCCCCAGGCCAGTCTGGAACTTGTGATCCTCCTGCCTCAGCCTCCCAGAGTGCTGCTCAGGTCCAGGCATGCATGACTTACTTGAACATGTGTAGGGCACTTGCTGTCCTGGATTACTCGGACTGAAGGCTTTTCAGGCTGTGTGGGTGTGTCTGGTCTGGTGGTTCCATCGTGTGTGTGTGTGTGTGTGGTTTTCCATGGCCACGCACAGTGGGTACCGTGTGGATCTGGCTCGTGTTGGGTTTCTGCTGCCCCATGGGTGAGGATGTGACGCGCAGTTGTCCGGCGTGCCGCCATTAGTGAGGCCTGAGTATTACCCAACCCATCATGTCCAGTGAATGTGCGTTTTCTCAGCAGGGGTGTAAAGCGTGCACATCTTGCGTTTGGTGCAGTGTAGAAAGCGTCTTCCACTCCTGTGAGCAGAGAATAACATGCACGCTGTGTACAGGCGGGAAGGGTAACGCTAGTGCAGCCCGGAGGGAAGCGCGGGTGGGGCGGGGCATCCCAGCAGGGCCACGCCCACTGGCGGGTGGGCGGAGCCTCTGCCCGGCCTGTCTTCGTTGTCCTTGGAGTGACCTCTCGCAGCCTGGCGTCCCTCCACCCCACAGCTGAGTGGCAGAGGCGCCCAGGAGTGCTGAGCCCTCTCCCACTGCAGGCAACAAACCTCAGAAAACCCAGCACACTAAACTGTGGCTGCGCACCCTCAAACCTGAAAGAAGGTGTCCTGAATTTCTCACCACGGTAGAAACAGAATCTGATTTTGTTGCTGCGAAGCACGCAGGAGGGATGAAGACGTTAGATGGCGCGGGGGAGAGAGCTTGGGACGAACAGGATGATAAGGCTAAATATCCACTCCCCGCGCCGACCAAAGCCTGACACCTCCAAACAGACTTCAGGTTTGCTGCTGGTGGGCTCTAGATTGTCTTCCTCCTTTCTTTGCACCATTTGTTGATTTGTATTTGGCCGGATAAATTGAATCATAGGAAACTGCTATTTATGTCAAACATCAGTAGAATCATAGGTTCAACCTGATACTTTTGTTTTTGTTTTGTTTTTTTTTGAGATAGGATCTTGCTATGTAGTTGAGGCTGGTCTTGAACTCACTATTGTAGCCACAGCAGGCCTTGAACTCACGACGATCCTCCTGCCTCAGCCTCCCAAGTGCAGGGATCACAGATGTGCACCACCACACCCTGCTAGAGTCAAATTTTTAAACAAGCCAGTTTGAACAGGCTGCAGAAGTCCTGCTTCCTTTACAAAGAATGTGACTTCTTGCTGGGCATGGTGGCGCACACCTGTAATCCCAGCACTCAGGAGGCTGAGGCAGGAGGATCACCGTGAGTTTGAGACCAGTCTGGGCTACAGTGAGTTCCAGGTCAGTCTCACAAATGAGTGAGCCCCTGTCTCAAACAAACAAGCAAACAAACAAAACCACCAACAAAAGAAAAAGTGACTTCTCTTGTATCCCCGCCCCCCAAAAGAAAAAAATGACTTTAAAACAACCAACCCACGTTTGTTCTTTCTGCTTTTTCGACCTCCTGGTGGTCTATAAAACCAAACTCCTGGTCTCAGCTCTTCAGAACTCATTCTAGTCTGTGGATAAGATGTCGCCATCCTTTCAATTTGTTGGAATTTTATCTTTTGACCTAGAGCACGTACAATCATAGTGAAAATACTTTTCCTGGAGCTGCACAGACACCCAAATGGAGGCCGCGCTGTGGGAAGGGTGGGATGGGTGCTGGAACCGAGCACCACAGGGTGGGTTAGTTAATACCAGGCACTGCGTGCAGCGCTTGTGTTAACGCGTCGGATTCCCAGACTAACCTCACGAGGCAGAACCACTTATAACCTGGTTCTCCAAACGGAGAACCTGAGACCTAGGAGACCAAGCCCCCTGGCGGAGGTGTACAGCCGGTTAGCAGACGCGCTCCGCCCGGCTTCGGGCTCTTAACCAGCAGCACTGCCCGCGTTGTACGCGTCAGGTTACGCTGCTGCAGGAGCACCCGCAGAGGTCCACGTTTCGCCACGACAGAGGCGTGTTCTTGCTCACCTCGCGTGATTACTGCCTCTGTGTCAGGCATGCTTCTGCCCGCCACCGGTCTGGATGCGGGACACCCGAGTAAAGAGCGATTCCAGCACCAGGGCGGAATCCCGAATCCGTAATGAACTGTATCTCTCCCCGACTCTCATTGGTCAGGGCGCGTCACGTGGCCACGCTTGACCCAATGAGGACCGAGAACTTCCAGACTGGCGTCCGGAGGCCACCGGCGGGGTGGTGAATAAACGGGAACCGTTTCAGGTTAGGTGATTTGTTAAGGACGTGTTCCCCGGAGGTGCCCGAAGAGGAGGGGACGTGAGACAGAGAAGGAGACACGCCAAGTAAGGGTATAATTTCAGACAGATCCCTGAGCTCAGCCTGCCTGCGGTGTAAAATGATACCTTAGCGTGTCTCCGCTCGGGTGAGGAAGCTAGGCGTCTGTACTTCCGCAGCTGTCAGTCATTGCTAAGCGCCGCCCCCAGCGCTGAGAAGCAGCCGGGCCCCGGTGGAATTCTGGGAAAGGGGGCCGGGAAGCGCCCCCCGCCCCGCAGTTGAAGGTGCACGGATCATGCAGAAATTGGGAAAGGGAACAGGATCCTTTTTATATAGTTTTCTCTGAGCATCGAACATAGGACATTATTCATTTCCCTCGCGGCTAACGGCGCGCGTCTTTGATGCTAGGCAGATGCCAGGCATGGCCTTACGCCTAAGACTGGTAGCTTTCCCAAGTGAAGAAAGAGACGTGAGACACGGCTGTATATACAGTCCTGACGGTAACTACCAGAAGTTTGTGCCAGCTCCACAGGGCAAGGGCACAGTCCCGGGAAGGCCACCCTCCTAAAATGCCAACTCTAGGCCGGGGATTTGGCTCAGTGGTTCCGGCTCCTACCTCGCAAGCGCAAGGGCCCGAGTTCGATCCCCGGTACCAAAAGTAAATAAACAAATAAAATGCCAACTGTAAATTCAGGGGACCCCAGGCAGACCACACTTCTATAAATCAGGGGTCCCCGTGAGTCCTTCAGGCTCCATAATTTACTAAGACAACTCAGAGAACCCAGAAAAAGGCTAGTTTATAATTGCAGTTACATTGTGAAAGAAAAACCGGGACCCGTCAAGTGAAGAGACGCACAGAATAAGGTCCGGTAAGGTCCCTAAGTAGACCTGTCACCTTTTTTAGCACGTTGATATGTTTGCCAGGCAGGAAGCTCACCAGCACTTTGGTGTCCAGAATTTTTAATGAGGTCTTATTATGCATGCATAATTTATGAAGTCATTGACCAGGAAAATGAATTCCCTGAAGGAGACTGGCTTGAGACCACAGGGCTCAAGTCCCCAACCCTCCAGTCACCGGCTTGGTCTCTGGTGTGACAGCCCAGTTACCAGGATCACCTCATGACGGTAAACTCAGGCATGGTCTGTAGGTCGGGATTGCATAGATGCTGTTATCACTCAGCAAATCCTAAGGGTTTAAAGCTTTTTCTCAGAAACTTGAGACAGACATTCTTTAGTATAACAAGTGCCATCAGATTATTGAAGAATCATAGAGCTCTGAGCAGATTACAGGAAGATTGTTAGTCCCACAGTTAGACACATAGGTAAGAGCAAATGCGGTACCGACACTCCTCATTTAACGTCCGAGTTACTACCCTGCAACTAGGTCATTAAATGAAATTGGTTGCTAAATGAGAAATTGTATATGGTACGTACATTACAATATTCAGAAGAAACCCCAACTTGATGACTTTGTTTACATGTAGTCCTGTAACACATAACAGAACATAAAACTACTGTACCATACCGTACAGTACAATCAGCAAAGATTACAGCACTATATAAACAAGGTGTGTTTTACAGAAAAAAAAAGACGAGGCTTTATCAATAAGATGGACAGAACTGTACAACAACAAAAACAGACAAGTCATAAATGGTGGGTGGTTAGTCCTAATACTCCACATTGGTCATATAAGTCTAAACAGTTGTTAAACGGGGAGTATCTGTACATCAAAGACAGAAAGAACAATCTTAAACAGCGGAGAACAGGCAGATGACCTACAAAGAAGGTGAAACAGTAACAGCAGACTTCTCTTCAGCAGCAATAGAGGCTGGAACAAAGTACGGTGCTATCCCAGACCTACAAGGAAAGTTATTCTTATTGGAAGGTAAAGGTAAAATTTTTGGATACATAGTAGTATTTATCTATCATTGTGAGGGAAAGTGACTCTCTTGTTTTGAAGTTACCTTTTTAAAAGCCCAAATGTTATTTTAATGATTCCTAATATTAGTTATTCCAAAAAGTATCAGCCCATGCCTACCTTCTCCGTTTTTTTGTGTTTGCTTTTTTCTTGAGGTAGAGTTGCACCGTGCATTCCAGGCTGGACTTGAACTCCCAGTGACCCTCCTGCCTCAGTCTCTCAAGTGCTGCCATCACAGGCGTGGGACCCCGTGTCTGCCGAGCGCGCCCGTATTCTTGACGGAGATTTCAAGTTCAAAGTTAGCTCGCTGCTGGAGAGCGAGACTCCCAGGGGCTGCTGAGGTCTGCCAGGCTCTGTGCCCGCACGGAATGTCCTTGCTCTGATGTCTGGGTTGGTCTCCTCCCTGGGTCTCCACCCCTCTGCCGTCTAGCTCCTTAGCAATACGTGGTGGATTAGTTTTCAAAATCAGCCACCACCGTAGCTGCCAGCCACCTAGCAACCGCTGCTGGTGCCCTGTCCCTCAAGCTCAGTGGGCCATGACTCTAGGCCGTTTTCTGAGGCTGGATCTTAAAACGGGGTGCAGTTTCTACCCAGTGCTCCAGGGATGCTGGTTATAGAACCCAGGCGTCAGGCCTCGAGGGAGGGGAGAACACGTGGCTTTGGGTAGCCCCAGACCGGCGAGGTTTCGGGAGCCCAGGCCTAGCTTCTGAGCTATCCCTGATGCTGCCAGGTAAAGCAGCCATCCGGCCCCACCTGGATGATGATTTGGGCACAAAAGAAACCATGGTGGTCAGGAAGACGGGTGGGGGTGGCATCCCTGGCAGCTCGAGAGGACGGGAACCCACCTGACCGCCTCACCGTATGACAGCTGCTCTGTGTCACTCCTTGGTTCCGACCCTTGGGAACTCTTTGCCCCAAGTGTCTTTGGCCAACTCTGAAGAATGCAAACCTTATTAATAATTCCAGTTTCCTCCTGCTCTAGACAAAGCTTCTTTGGTTTCAAGGCAAAAAAAGAAACCCATTCAACGGCCCTCAGGAAAAGGGTTTTCACGAAAGGATGAGGGGGCGCGCAGCAATCTGGACAGGAAGTGCTGCCCAGCGTGGCCCAAATGGGGCCCGAGTGTATTTATAGCCAGCGCCTGTGCTCACTGCACAGCGTAGTTTATCTGCTCATCAAGGCGGAAGTGGGTCCTCAGGCCTCGCCTCACTTCCTGGTCCCTTCCGCAGCATGGCCTCTGCAAGCCGAGGGGCGCTCGGACCACAGCGCGGGGTTCCAAGTTCTTGCCAGGGCAAGAAGGGCGTTGAGCTCCATCCGCAACACAGGATCCCTGAGGATCCCGGCCGGGGCTCGGGGCCAGGCTGGGAAGCAGGGAGCCCTGTGGCGTGCGGGCGGGTGCCATGATGGTCAGTGCCGCGCCCTCTCGGCCGGCCTCCTTACTCCTCCTCGTCCCAGAAAGCCAAGGCCACAAGGCACCGGCGTGGCCTCGATCCAGGGGAGGGTCGGGAGCAAGAGGGGTGAGAACACAGCTGGCAGGACCCACAGACCTGGGGGTGCACCCGAGGCGGAGGAGGTGCCTGGCCAGGCTCTCAGGTGACCCAGCCCTGCCCAGCCGCGCAGCGCGCAGACTCTGGAATCCAAATCCCAGGTCTGCTCGTTTAAAGGCTGAGACCTCCTGGGGGGGTGCATCCATCATCCAGCACTTGGGAGGCTGAGGCAGGAGAATCACCAGGAGTTCGAGGCCAGCCTGGGCTGCTCCAGAGTTCGAACCTGTTTCAAAAAAATAAAGATATGTGCCGGGTGTGGTGGCGCACGCCTGTAATCCCAGCACTTGGGAGGCTGAGGCAGGAGGATTGCTGTGAGTTCGAGACCAACCTGGGTTACAGAGTGAGTTCCAGGGCAGTCTGAACTACATAGTGAGACCCTGTCTGAAAAAAACAAAAAAAAATTTTAAAAATAATAAAAAAAATAAAGAAATGCTGAGCCCCCGGGCAAGTTACTTTCTCCAGTCTTGATTTCTACACCTGTAAAGCCATAATCTCTCAGATCAGCGTGAGGATAAAATGAACTCCTCCATTCAAAAGTTTCGCGCACACACTGGGCCTTTGTGCCCTCTAAGTGCTTCTCCTCCCGGGAGCCCGGCGCCCCTTTCAGGACCAGGAACGTGCAGGGACAAAGAGGCTGCAGATGCAGGGCAAAGGTTTCCATCCCAGTGACTCACAGGAGGAGGAGGAGGCCCCGCCCCAGGGCCCTGCACCTTGTAGAAGTGAAACTGCGTTCAGCTTCACCTTGATCTTCAGTGCCTGAAAGTCTGCGCGTGGACACAACCACAGCCAGACCCGGCAGCTGCGGTGAGGCCATGGGAGAGAGCTTCACAGTTGAGGACCCCTGAGCAGACCCTGCTGTGAGGACTTGGATCTGGAGCGTCTGTGGAGTCTCCTGGGTGTGGTCTGGCGGAGGGGTCCTGGGCTGTGATCCGGGGGGATGTTCTTGCCCACCGCTCCTCCACTGCCTCTGTGGGTTGACTGTTCTACTGGTGCTGTGATCTTGGCCACGTTGCTGAGCCTCTGTAATTGTTCTTCCTAGCCTGGCGTGCTGGTGCGCACCTGTGATCCCAGCACTCTGGAGGCTGAGGCAGGAGGACTGCCTTGAGTTAGAGGCTCAGCCTCTGCTACACAGTGAGTTCAAACCCAGCCTGAATTACACATCGAGACCCCATCTCAAGCAAACAAACAAAAAAACAAGTAGTCTGCCCTTATCCTGGTTTTGTATTCTAGGATTTTAGTCACCCATGAACCAATCAACTGTAGTAAAAAAAAAAAAAAGTTTATTATTATTATTTTTTTTTGAGACAGGATCTCACTATGCTGCCCAGGCTGATATCGAACTCACAGTGATCCTCCTGCCTCAGCCTCTTGAGTACTGGGATCACAGGTATGTGCCACCACGCCTAGCTAAAAAAATTTTCTTTTAGTATAGACTATTTCATGAGTTTTTGTGTCCCTTGAGCAGGGCCACGCCATCTCGGTATTGTTCCGATTTTAGTGGCTGCCAGAGCGAGCACAGCAGTCCAGAAAGATGGAGACGGAAACACCAGATAATTAACTGCTCCACGCTTTCAGTCGCTCCGCTCCCGGCAGGCTCGGTCCTGGTGAGACGCGAGCAAGCGAGGCCTTGGGCCTCCTCTGTGTCCATGCGGCGCTGCTGTGCCCGGTCACCGTATCTCACTCCAGAGAGGCCGTGGTGCTTCCTCAGAAGGCCGGGGACACCTCACTGAGGTGCCGGTGTCCAGGGAGAAACAGAACTGGAAGCTCTGCTTTCCAGGCTGCCTGGGACACAGGAGGTGTGGGGCCAGGAGGCCCGGGCTCAGCGTCCCCGTTCCCGTCCCCCCGGGGGTCACAACCGCCAGCGGCAGTGTCTGGAGCTCCCGGGTCGCTTGGTGCACTTCCCTGGACGTGCCTCGGTTTCTCCTCTCGTCACCCCGCTCTTGGACCGCACCCCGACGTGGCCGGTGGCCCGAGCTGTGCACACCAAGGGGTGGGGCCCCTGTTCTTTATCTCATGTGTCACTGTGCTCTGGTTTAGAGGAAGAACTCGGAAATTCCGGAATCTAATCCTGCTGATCATTAACTGTGCAAATAACTGTCATAAAAATTCTCAGACTAAAATCATTAAAATTGTTAATTGTTTTCCAGTTTTTAAAAACATATATCACATAAAACGTACCATTGAACCACTTTGGGGGTGTGTTTTGAGACTGGGTCTCATAATTTGGCCTTGACCTTGTAGTGGTCCTCCTGCCTCAGCCTCCTGAGTGCTGGAACTAAGGTGTGTGTGTGTGTGTGTGTGTGTGTGTGTGTGTGTGCCGCTGTACTTGGCGATTCGGCAGCGTTTCAAACACTCACAATGTGGTATGGCCACTGTCACCGCATCGGAGGGTCACACCTTGTACCCACGAAGCAGCTGCTCTCCTTTCCTGCCTCTCCTGGGCTCGCTGGTGAGCATTAATCTGCTTCCTGTCTATGGATTTGCCTTTGCTGGATCATTTTATATAAATGGCGGCACATAACATGTAGGCTTTTCTGTCTGGTTTCTCTTACACTGACATTTTCAAGGTTCATTCCTGCTGTACCGTATATGTCAGTACTTCTGCACTTTTGATGGCTCAATAATATTCCCCAATGAGGATGTACACTTTTTTTTGTTTTGGGGTTTTTGTTTTCATTTTTATTTTTGGTACCAGGGATTAAACTCAGGACCTCATGCTTGTGAGGCAGGTGTTGTGCCACTGAGCTAAATCCCCGGCCCTATATTTTGTTTATCCATCACTTGACAGACTTCCTACACCACTTTTTTGTTTGTTTATTTGTTTTGTTTTTTGAGACCGGGTCTCACTCTGTAGTTGAGACTATCCTGGAACTCACTATGTAGCCCAGGCTGGTCTCAAACTCAGAGCAATCCTCCTGCCTCAGCCTCCTGAGTGCTGAGATTACAGGAATGCACCACTAGCCCTGGCTTCTATACGACTTATTGAGTGACTATAAGACAGGGTCTCATTAAGTTGCCCAGGATGGTCTTGGACTTGCAATCTTCCTGCCTCAGCCTCCTGAATAGCTGGGATGACAGGTGCACCACACACCTGGCGGGGCTTTTATCCTTTCCTATAGCCTGTGTCACCTGACCTGGGAGGAGCCAGGGCAGGTCCTGTTTGTCTCACAGAATTAATTAGGGAAACCAGTCCTAAAGTTCATTTGGAACCAGAAGAAACCTAGAATAGTAAAAGCAATTCTGGGCCACAAAGGCAAGGTAGGGGCATCACCATTCTTGACTTGAAATTACACTACAAAGCTACCATGATAGAAACAGCATGGAACAAAACAAAAGACCTGAGGATCGACTGAACAGTTTAGAAGATGCAGAAACAACTCCAAACATACTCAGGCATCTTTTCCCCCTTGGCACTGGGGATCGAACTTAGGACCTTGCCCTTAGGTGGCAGGCATGGTCCCACTGAGCTAAGTTCCCAGCACAGCCATTTTATCTTTGACAAAGGAGCCAAACATCTTCACTGGAGGAAAGATCTCCCCTTTAATAAATGGTGCTGGGAAAATGGGCTTTTCACATGCTGAAGACTAAAACTAGACCCATGTCTGTCAGTGTGCCCTAACCTGAAATCGGAATGGACCAAAGATCTAAATATTAAAACAGAAACAGTAAATCTCCTGGAAGAGACACTGGTGTAGGCAAAGACTTTATGAACAAAACCCAAATTGCACAGGAAATATCAGAAAGAATCAACAACTGGGATCTCATCTTACTAAAAAGCTTTTGCACAGCGAGAGAAACTACCAACAGAGTGAAGACGCAACCCACTGTGTGGGGGGAAAAATTTACCAGTTGTTCCCCAGGCAAAGGACTACTATTTCGAATATAAAAAGAACTCATAACAATCAGATCTCTGAAATTTAAAGATCCAATCCCAAATGGGCATCTGAAATGGACAGACACTTCTTAGATGAAGAAGGAGAAACAGAAAACAGGTATATGAAAAAATGTTCCACATCACTGGTCACTGGGGAGATGCAGATGAAAACAACACTGAGATTCCACCTCACTCCAGAAAGAGCGGCAGCTATCAAGAAATCAGCCTACAACAAATGCTGGAGGGACTGTGGGGAAAAGGGAACCCTTCTCCACTGCTGGTGGGAGTGCAGACTGCTGCAGCCACTGTGGAAATCAGTGTGGAGATTCCTCAAACAACTAAAACTAGAGGTTTAGTTCAGCTGGGCGTGGTGGCTCATGCCTGTAATTCCAGCACTTGGGAGGCTGAGGCAGGAGGATCACTGTGAGTTTGAGACCAGACTGGGCTGTATAGTGAGTTTCAGGTCAGTCTCAACTACACAGTGAGACCCTGTCTCAAAAAACAAACAAAAAATTCCACTTGACGGCTGCATAACGTAAAGATCAGAGCTCCGTGGGTTCATTTCACAGGTAGAAATGGGGCTGGGGGTGTGGCTGAGGAGGACAAAGACCACACTCTTAAGAGAAATAAATTGGGAGCCAGGCCTGGTGGCGCACACCTGTATTCCTAGCACTCGGGAGGCTGAGGCAGGAGGATCCCTGTGAGTTTGAGACCAGCTTGGGCTGCAGTGAATTCCAGGACAGTCTCAACTACATAGTGAGACCCTGTCTCAAGGAACAAAACAAAACAAACAAAAAAAGAAATAAATCAGACACATATTTAAACACTGCGCTGTTTCTCCGGTGTGAGAAAACTGAAAGTGGAAATAGAGACTAAAATGTACAATAGACATTGGGAAATGGGAAGAAAATGTTCAAATGGGAAGGAAAACAAGGGAGGAGGGAGGGAGACAGGAAGAAGGGGGCAAAAAAACAAGGAAAAATGAAGACAAAGCTTTTGTACGTAGGGAGAGGCGGGGCTTGAGTGGAGGGGGAATGGGAAAAAGAGGCGGTGCAAATGTCCCGTAATGAGCGTTGCTGTGTATGCCTAAGATGGAACAGTAAAGGTTTTGCTTTAAAAAAGGGGGCAGAGAAGAGTGTTGAAAGGAAGGGAAATGGGAAAAAAGAAGCATCACGATAAGTCACGGACAGGGACACATTCCATATGACGAATGTGATCGTTATGTAACCCTAAAGTATACTACTAATAAAAGTCTGTCCTACGTTACCTTTTTATGTCTATTACAGACATTTCCGTGAGAAATAAAAAATAAAACTT